TGTATCACAGCTCAGGAAAAAAAAGCACCGAAATAAAGCACCGAAATGTGCGCTGCTTTTCGGTCTGGTTACTACCGTTTATGTCAGAACCGGTGCCATCATGGCACCGGACACCGGTACCCATCCCTAATCATGAGTGGAGCAAATTAATTTACAGAAGTTCTTTCAAACCCAGTAATGCAGCTGTCATACTTTGAGACTTTTTCCCTGCACTGGAACATTTACTGCACTTTTTACTGAGGTTAAATATTTATCTAAGTAATTTTTAAATGCTACTGCAGACAGTCTGATTGTAATCTGATTACAGTTGTGGTCCAATGTTTCCATCCACTCATCATGGGTATGAATGATGAAATAATTTTGGTTTTTTTAATGATTTCTTTGAACTGTTCTTTGTCCAGGGTGGAATGATTGTACAGGATCTTTAATTACTTAAAATTAAAAACAAGAATTATTCTGGATTTTCTCTAATCCGTATAGGGTCAAATAAATGCATACATTTACACTTTAAGTCTCTTAATTTATTTTATAATAAACTGTCTTCACAGTGGACAGTGATGCTGGTGTTTCTTGCAGTTTCCACTTCATGGCAGGCCTGAGCCTCAGTGGTTTCTGGGTTTTTCCTTTTTATGTCCTCTCATCTGAGGGTGACAGTTTGGGTCTTCTTCCAAACTTTGGCAAGTGATGGTACTGCCAAACCTGTACTTATGTAGTTGTTTACATGAACCATTTACAGTTGTTTAGGAATGGTTCTAAGAAACCTTAGCAACTAGTATAAATCTACAATTTCCCTCTTGGATCTTCACAGAGTTCCTTGGACTTCTCCAATATTCTGAGTAATTTTCACTTATAGCTGTCAAACAAATCCTTTCTATGCTGCAAAGACAAACTACCAGCTGTAGTCAATCATGGTCACTACAGCCTGTACATACTTATAGTTATAGAATATTCACAACATACTTCATACCGTGTACATTATAACATAATAGACCCATTTCTGTAATATACTTACATATCTATATTGTTGCTAATATATATTGTAATATATCTATATCACTAAGCACTTCTGGATGGATGCAAACTGCATTTCGTTGCCCTGTACCTGTGCATGTGCAATGACAATAAAGTTGAATTCTATTCTATTCTATTCTATTCTAACAAGAAGTTAACAGGCCTCAGCCTTGCTAAGATAAGATATTGTAGTATTTTCAGCAGCACTGGCTAAAAGATTTATAAATGTATATATTTGAGCCTGTGTGGCTTAGAGGAAGTCCAAAATAAATTCTAACTTGTGCACCCAATTCTTGTTTTTAAAGTAATTAAAGATGTATGCTGAACGATTATTCTACTCTAGAAAAAAAAGAACAGTGCAAATAAATCATTAAAAGCCTAAAATTACCCTGATATTCATGCCTATGTTGAGTGGATGTAAAATTCTAACCACAGATGCATCTACATTTAAATCAGTGACTCAGCAGAGCTGAGCTGTTATTGAAGATCGTCTTCTTTGGCCTCGTCCTTCAACTGCTGATCGAGCGCTCTGATCTTCTGTACCAGTTTGTTCTCAAACTGTGTTCCTATCATCCGCCTTTTTTTGAGTATTTTTCTGTTGGATGACTTCAAACTGTTTTCTTTTCACTTTCAAGTATTCAATATAAAAGCTGCTGATTTTAATTTTAAATCAAAGTTTCCACTGAGCCAGAATATCTCTGACAGCCTCAAAGTACGTTTTCATTTCTTTTTTTATTCCTTCAAATTTTCAGTTTGTTTCTTGATAAAGATAACTTACCCCCGCCTCATCGTGTTTTCCACTTTCAGTCATACTAAGAAGCTGGTCTTCAGTCTTCATGTTACTCCTCAGGTCTGAGGTCTGCTTTCTTGCCAGGACCTCCAGCTTTCTGTACATTACAACTTCAAGTGTGTTCTTGAAACTGAAAACAAAGTTCTCACTGAGGAGGGAGTTCCACAGGTCCTGAATTTTGGTTCTGAGCTGTGAGAGAGTGATCCCAGCGGACTTTGAAGCTTTAGAGAGGATGGTGTTCTTCACTTCTTGGAGGCTCTCACTGTAAGCTGGATTAGGAGCAGCCATGGGTGGACTGCCCTCCCACAGCTGCCCACAGTATTTCACATCTTCCTGAACATCAAATTCAATGACATCACTGAAGCGCTCAGCATCACAAAGCTCCTCTTCAGCTGCTAGTTTGGTCATCTGGTCCAGATGTTCCTGCAGGCGTCTCTTTCTGTCCACGTTCTTCTCTGCTGCTGCAACATCTGGAACATCCTGAACAAACACACATCTGGGAGAAAGCTGAACTTTTTTCATCCTCATCAAAGCCTGAACAACAATCTGCAGAATGTCTTGGATCTTCAACAGATTATCTCCAAAGATGCTGATCAGTGTCACGTTTCCCAGAGCAATGACAAATGTCGCCAGTTCGTTGTCACGGTAACGAGTGTTGTTACCGTCCAGCTCAGAAGCCTGCAGACCTTCAGTTTCCACCACTAGAACATAGTCAACGTCTGTCTTCATGTCCTCTGATACTTTGAGCAGCTGCATGAAGGCACCCTTGGTACTCCTGCCAGCACCTACTGCAGGCTGCAGTCCAAACATGGAGCTCAGCAGTGATGTTTTCCCACTGCTCTGGAGGTCCAACACTGACAACACAAAAACTCTCTGGTCCCCCAGTTTCTGGATGACTTCCTCTAAGAGGCTGGAGATCCATGTGAAAGGCAGGTGACCTGCGTCCCCGTCCATCAGCTCCACTGGGTGTCCTGATATCATCAGCTGTGCAGCCAGCTCAGGGTATTTACACCAGTCAGCGTCTCTGCTCTCTCCATCTGTTGTTCTGTGGGCTTCATAGATGTGTGCCATTTCTCTGAACATGTGCTCCAAGCCGAAGGATGCAGACTGCAGTTTGTGGGACAAGTCTTGGAGCTCAGTTTGTTTCATTAATAACAGACCAGATTTGTCATGTTTGTTCTTCAGAGCTAAGACCTCCAACCACTTTTCATCATAACTTTGGAGAACAGAAGAAATGTTCTCTGTGGAGAGAGCATCCATGAAGATCTGAGTCCATTTCAGGAAATACTCTCTGTCTGCTGGTGGCAGTGCTGAGAGGCTGTTAGTGAACAGCTCCATCAGTTTACTGCAGGAAGCAGCACGTTGTTTCTGACGCATGTCCATCAGTTTCTGCTGCTTTTTACTCTTCTTGTTTTCACTGTTTTCTCTGAGATGTTTCAGTTCTTTGTATATTTTGTTCCAGTGATGCCACAGATGGTTTTGACAAGGGAGGAATTCCTCTTTGATCTTTGAGATATCCATGTTATCCTTCGTAATTAGCTGCATTATTTCCAGAGCAGCAGATCTGCCTCTCTGACAGGCTGGGTCACTTTCATCCACTCTGACTCCAGAGAGCTCGGCCAGGGCTTCAAGCTGGAAGGATGGTTTCACACTGGACTCTTCTAGAGAAGATAAAACTTCTCTAATGATCTTTTTCAGCTCTTCAGATACATCTGACTGGTTTCTGCCTTTGAGGCCCATTTTGTATTTTCCCTTTTTTGTCTTGAGAGCATCACAGCTGTCATCATCACTGAGACATATTAGAGGTTTATGAGACTTAAAGAGGGCGGCTATAAGTGATCTGCTTTCTTCATCTTTTTGCAGGGATGCAACAAGGAAAACGTTGATGGAGGATTTTTTAATCAGTATGTCGCGCTGTTTTTCAATCTGCAGAGCATCACCGTGAAGATTACAAAAAGCCATGCAGTCCCTGAAGGCATCAGTGGGTTTCCCAGCAGGGCAGTACCAGGCTATCTCTGCCACACCATCCATCAGATGGCGAGACCTGGTGCTTCCTGGGCAGTTCCTGTGGAAGAAGGTGCTGTGACGGTCGTTGATCAAAGCGTTCATCAGCTGAGATTTAGACACTGACAGAGAACCCAGGCGGAAAAATGACACCAAGGGTGTCTGAGCTTTGCAGACTGGAACACTCTTCATGGTGACGATGGGTGAGCCATCTTTGATCTGAGTCGCCGTCCAGGTTTTTGTTATCTGTCTGAAAGTCCACAGAGGACACTCCATCTCCATTGTGACTGGGTCAGGGACCAGCAAAGGTAAAGCGTACTGACACTGAGAGAGCTTTGTGACCATCGTCTGTTTAAGGAAGCTGTCTGAGCAGTGAAACACGGCCATCTGAACATCCATTGGATGCACACGAGTCTGTTCTGTGTCCACGCTGGTGTTCAGAAAAACCTCCCAATCACTGTAATCCTTCTCAGGGATGTCAGTCACCGGCCTGGGCTTTGGCTCTGTCCCCTCAGGACTGTCTGCTCTTACAGGAATATATCTGGCCCTGCAGTCTAACGTCATCAGCCTGCGGACAAACATGTGAGCCAGATGTTTCTCAGATGTGACATGGTGCCGTGTCACAGGTGGACGGATCTGAAGAAAATCCTCTGGTGAGAATTTCTGCTGAAGTTTGTCTTGAAGCTGAAGTCTATCAATCAGTGTCTCAGTTTGTCTTTGACATGGATACTTGGTGAGTTCATCAGAAACATTCACTGACTGCAGGAAACAAGCAAAGAAACAGTTTGTTAAGGACTGATACTGTCATAGAAACTATCTCTAAGATCTTTGGTATAAATTTGGACTTCCTACCATGTTTCCACTCACGTCCTCACCTGAGGAACCTGCGAGATAAAAACAAACCAGGAGAACAGATCATGTGACTGGACTGAACCAATAAAACAGTCAAACTCCCACAGGTAACATGAACGATACAGTCCTATACAGACTGAGTGAATCCAAACTGCTGTGGCGTGACAGACAGTCACTGTGTGGAGCACACAGGGCATCACTAGGTTTATGTACTGTATGTTGTATGAATCATTACTGTGAAAGTCAGACATGAATCTGAGTCACTTTCAATCAGTTTGACGCACATTGATAAGTTTGTGTAACAGACGTGATGTAGATACAGAAAAACTATGTGAAGGTTTACTGACAGTCAGACAGAGGACTTTGTGTTCTTTTCATTTACATTATAAACCCTCAGTGGTCACAATAAAAACACAATTATTCACTGATTATTGAAATGAAACAGTCCTGCAGACACACAGCATCCCCTCTCAGCTGTACCATCATTTCTGTCTCAGCAGCACAAAACAGCTGTTTGACCAACAAGGAGACAAAAATTCATCCAACAAGAGCTCCGATTATATTCAAGCTCTTTGGAAAAACTCCCGGAGGAAACGTGACTGAGCAGGTTGGAGAATGAAGAGAGTGGAACGCTTTGAAAGCAAAATGAAGCTGCGAACAATCATCAAACTTTTTTCTTCTCTGAAGATTCCCAATCAGGAGAAACACATTTACAATCGCATCATCAGTAAAATAATAACAACAATAATAAAGTTGAGCGAGTCAATGTGTTCAAACCTTTGAGACTTTACTGAAGGTGTGAAATCAAACCTTGAGATTCTCCTGCAGACAGCATGTGTACAACAACATGATCATAGAAACACATTTTCCTGCTGATCAGGTGAGAAGATTTTACCTTTGTTGGAGCGTTCCTCGTTCTCATCTTCTTCACCTTCATGGACGAAGAAACAGAAAACAGGATCTGTGTCACAGTTTTCTTTCAAAGACGAGACCTCAGATCTGATCTCAGCCTCTCCTCCACCTGCTGCTGCTGTGCTGTGAAGGTTCTCCATCTCATCTGCTCCTCATCTTTACAAAGGATCCACACATCATCTGTTTGTTTTGTTATCTATCAAAACAGAAAATAGAAATAAATAGAAATATTTAAAAGTGCTAAAAAGAGTCTGGGACCTGAGAGCAGACATCCGAGATCTTCGTGAGCAGAAAGGTGAGAACTCATAGATGCTGAATGGACGTCAGATCTTACTGTATATCTGCTGCTGATACGACCGTGCTTCACATTTCCACCTCTGAATATGAACCTGACTGTAATGCAGATATTCAGGCTTTGGATAAACGTTGGATAAAGTTTCACATTTTCATTATTTAACTGTAACATCTGCTGTCATCAGCGGCAGTTTATAAAGGCATGAAATTCATATTGAGGATAACTGAGTTCATCTTGTTGGTGCAGCGCTCCACAGCAGTCCCAGTTACTCATGGGACACCATGAGAAAAAGAATTACCCACCACTGGCTTATGTTGAAGAGACATCAGTGGTTAACAACAGTTTAACACAGTCAGGTAACTGAGTGATGATGAACCAAAGTCAGGGTGTTTTTTCTAATACTTATTTAATTTCTTTCATTTTTGTGTGGAACATTTAAAATTTACACATCTAAAACTAAATGTGTATAAGTTTGAAATATTCAAAAATCCAAACAACAACAAAGTGATGATTATGTTTTCACGAGAAATGAACCTCCTTTTAACAACCTCAACAGCTGTTTGTGCAGATTATTGCGTTTACGAGACGCACTTAAATGCATCACAGTCGTTGCTTTTTACCGTACCATACCGTTACATGAGTAACGTCTCAGCACCTTCTTTGCCTATAACTAAAACAAGGCTTAAACTGAAGAGTGTAACACTGATCTGTGTGTGTGTGTGTGTGTGTGTGTGTGTCAGCGCAGACACCGCCATGAAAACCTCTCGGGTCAGAGCTGTCACATTAACTTTTATCTTTAAGTCAGAGTTTCATAACTGGACGGTTTAATGAAGCGTTTACACACCACAGAAATACAAACTCATACCTGCGTGTCTCTCGAGCTCTTCCTGGTTTTTAGTTTAGTTTCGGTTTCTAAGGACGGTCCACAGGAACTTCCTGTGGACCTCCAACCAATCAGAGCGTGATGTTTTTACGGTACCGTGATGGTGTCACCTTCAAGGTTATTATAGTTTATAGGTTATTATAAATTTAAACTGAAAACTAAGACTAGATGTCAAAACTATTCAGTTAACTAAAATTAAAAATAATGTTTTTTT